ATCTATAGATATACCCAATATTTTTGAGCCATGTGAGAATTATTCACATATATCATGGCCCCTTAGTCCTAATGACTTCCTTGTGTGTATTTCCTAAGAATAAGGATATCCTTTTATAAAACCACGGTATAGTCGTCAAGTTTGGTACATTTACTCAGTCATTGTTTCCTGAATTGAACTGAACTATGGGAACACCCATTATCCTGGTTTGACCTGTCCTACTGCTGAGTCATGGGAGTGAAAAATCTAAAGCCTCATTTGAATTTCAGGTTTGAGTCGTTGAGAAAACCACAGATTCAGATTTTTCAGATTACTTTTGAATTTGATTCATTATGTGGTTTGTTTGGGTTTTTTGTTTTTTTTTTTTTTGATTCTGTGGTTCAGCTACTCTGAAAACATCCTTCTCAAAGAATAATGCTGATACCAGCATTGGTGGATACTAACCGGACGTTCATTATTAGGTCAGGTACTGTTCTGAGCACTTTGCATTTATTAATGCATTTAATCCTCACAACAGCAGTAAAGGAACATACCGTGACTGTCTTCATTTTGTACGTGGGGAAGTGTAGGCATGGGAATCAAATAGCTTGATCATAAATATATGGCTGATAAGGGTATAAAATCAAGATTTGAACCCAGGCTCTCAGACACCTTTCTTATTTGTTAATCTACATGCTTGTGCGTGTGTGTGTGTGTGTGTGTGCGTGTGTGTGTATTTAGCCTTCTTACATTTCACGGTGTCTTCTCTACAGACGATCCCATGCTATTTCTTGTTATTGATTGATTCTCATTGTGTCCTGTTCCCCTAGGAGAGAAGCATTCATTTTCTTGATGTGTTTATTTTGCAGCTGAAGCGAAGGTGACTGGTCCCATGAGCCCGGAAGAATGAACTCAGAAGAGGCTGTTTACACGAGGATCTCCCACTCACCAGCTGTTGAGACTCTGTGGATGAAGAGCAGGATCTTATTACCTCAATGGAAGTGTGCGACCATGTTCCCGAACCAACAGCAAAGGGGATTTGGTACAGTGGGGCTGCCTAATAAATGATTCATCAGAAGTATTTGATACAAATCTGTCTTGAAGCAATGTCTTCAAATTTAGTGTTGCATCTTATCTGGCCTCATGTATGTTTGTGTGACCTCTGCTGCTTCTCTCTCCAGTGCCACTGCTGGCCTGAAGGCTGGATCCACAATGGAATTCTCTTCATTCAGGCTATTTATAGAGCCAGCGTGGGTTCCTAACTATTTATTGAATGCCTCTTTCATGCCAGTCATTAAGCTGGATGCTTTAAAACATTTAATCTTCACAAAAATCCTATAAGGTTGCACCTACTATCTCCGTTTTGCCCACGAGGAAGAAGAGGCTCAGAGAGGTTGTGCACTATGTGTAAGATCACACAGTTGGCAGAATCGGGGCTCAAATCTAGATCTAGATACAAAGGCTCTTCACTTTAACACATTGCTTTGCCTATCACTGCTGCAGGGATGATTAGTCCATCATATCATCACTGGTATTCCTCTTATAAATAGAGGTGGTGGGGGTGGGGACAACACCTGGGGGGTTCAGTAGTTTAAGCGTCCGACTCTTGATTTCGGCTCAGGTCATGTCACAGTTGGTGACTTCAAGCTCTGCGTGGAGCTCTGTGCTGATAGCTTGGAGTATGCTTGAGATTCTCTCCCTCTCTCTCTCTGCCTCTCTCTCTCTGCCCCTACACTGCTTTCTCTCTCTCTCTCTCTCTCTCTCTCTCTCTTTCTCAAAATAAATAAATAAACTTAAAAAAAATAGACGTGAGGATGGTAGCGTGTGTGTATGGGAAGTGTCTGAGAGGGAGGGTCAGGGAGGCTTTAGAGACACTAAAAGAACACCATGGTCTTTTAGATTAAAGGTTGATAAACTGTGGCCTGTGTGTCAGATCCAGCTCCCAGCCTGTTTTTGTAAATAAAGTTTTATGGGAACACAGCCATCTCCAATCCTGTTTGTATTGTCTATGACTGCTCTCTCTACGATGGCATAGTTGCATAGTTGTGGCAGAGATCGTATGGCCTGAAACGCCTAAAATATTGATCCCTGTTTTAGGTGATTTAGGAAGAAAGCCAACAGTTTCCATTAAGGCCAATTTATTATTTTTCCCATTGGACTGAAAAACGACTTAAAGGTTTGTAATGCTGAGATAATCACTATATTCTAATGGTGGTGGTGGTGGTGGTGGTGGTGGCAGAGTGGGGGATGGGAGCAGGGGTGGGGGTGGGGGTTTGGGGGAATCTAACCTGGGAAGGCTAAGGGGCAGGGAGTAGAAGGCAGAGGTCTGGCCTGCGGGTCCCCAGTCAACTCCTCACCCCAGACACATCCCACTCATGTCCTTCCTATTCCTCCTGCCAAATCAAGTTTCCTAAAATAACCCTTTGCTCATAAACTTGTAAGTGGCTTCCCACTTACAACATGCTCAAATCCCAACACCCCAGCCTGGAATTTAGAGACCATAACAATCTGACCCCTACTAATCTCTCTTTCCACTCTCCTCTTTTGTTTTTTTTTTTAATCATGAGGAAGTCATGCCAAATGTGAGTTTATATTTCAAAGCCAATTTATTTGCCTTTGATTCACCTTTTTTTAGTTTTTAATGTTAATTCCAGTATAATTAACATAAAGTGTTATATTAGTTTTAGGTATACAATATAGTGTTTCAACAATTCTATACATCATTCAGTGCTCATCATAAGTGTACTCTTTAATCCCCATCACCTATTTCACCCATCCCCCACCCTTTAATGTACTTTTAGGTAAGCAGAAAAGTAAACATGTGAAAGTATTTGATAACAGGAATCCAGGCTGAGCTTTCCTATATGATGGCACTGCACCTAAGCTAAAACTTATAAACAAAAGGAAAATTTATAAAGGTGTCTACTTTATAACAGTAGACATTACCCATTTATATTTTGAAAAAATACTCTAGCTAAAACTTCTGTTTTGTTTTTAAGTTGTAATATAAGCTTTTCCCCAGGAGTGCCTGGGTGGCTCCATCAGTTGAGTGTCCGACTCTTGATTTCGACTCAGGTCATGATCTCACGGTTTGTGAGTTCAAGCCTGATGTCCTACTCCACACTGACAGTGTGGGGCCTGCCTGGGATCCTCTCTCTGACCCTTCCCCCATCAAAAATAGATAAACAAGCCTTAAAAATAAAAAAAGCTTTCTCCCATATTGCTGTGTATTTTTTTTTTAATTTTTTTTTTCAACGTTTATTTATTTTTGGGACAGAGAGAGACAGAGCATGAACGGGGGACGGGCAGAGAGAGAGGGAGACACAGAATCAGAAACAGGCTCCAGGCTCTGAGCCATCAGCCCAGAGCCTGACGCGGGGCTCGAACTCACGGACCACGAGATCGTGACCTGGCTGAAGTCGGATGCTTAACCGACTGCGCCACCCAGGCGCCCCTGTGTATTTTTAATAAAGATAATTTTTCATGCTGTGAATATTCCATGTCTTTAAAAAATTTTTTTAATGTTTATTTATTTTTGAGAGACAGAGAGAAACAGAGTGCAAGCAGGGGAGGGGCAGAGAGAGAAGGAGACACAGAATATGAAGCAGGCTCCAGGCTGTGAGCTGTCAGCACAGAGCCCGACATGGGGCTTGAACTCACGAACCTCGAGATCATGACCTGAGCCAAATTTGGACCCTTAATTGACTGAGCCACCTAGGCGCCCCAAGTGGAATATTCCATCTCTCATATGCTCCAATGTTTTCCTAATACTTGGCTGGTATGAAGGCATTGGGGGTTCCTATTTCCATTCATTTCATATCTTATCTCCTGGAGTTGTTCTCTTCATTTCCCACCTTCGCTTAGGCTGTTTCCTTGGCTTGGAAAGGGTCCTATCTTCCTTTCATGACTTGTCTTAAGTTCCTCATTCCAGCTTCAGTTGTGTCTCCTTCCCTTTTCAAACTCTGATTGCTAGGGTGGCTCAGTCGGTTGAGCGTCTGACTTCAGCTCAGGTCATGATCTCACAGTTCGTGAGCTCGAGCCCCGCATCGGGCTCTGTGCTGATGGCTCAGAGCCTGGAGTCTGCTTCGGATTCAGTGTCTCCCTCTCGCTCTGCCCCTCCCCCACTTGTGCTCTGTCTCTGTCTCTCAAAAATAAATAAATGTAAAAAAAAAATTTTAAAAAAAGAATGAGAGTTGGATTCAAAAGACTTATTTCCTAGGAAGTGCTGATGTAGTACCATCTGATCTGGACAACGACAGCACCACAGTATCAAAGGACTCACAGACACCATTATTTCCCGGTGCTGTGGTCAGGAGAATGGTTTATTATGGAAAATAATAAATTGATAAATACCATATATTTTGTACTTCCCAGTAATTAGGCATTATTCTAAGTAAGCACTTTACACACATTGTCATTTATCTTCATGACAACACTTTCAAGTGGGTATTGTTAATACTCTCATTTTACAAATAAGAACGTTGACGTAGAGAGAGGTTACCAAATCACCCAAGGCAACACAACTGGTAAGTGGTAGACTTGGCCTTTGAATTCAGACAGTCTGGTATCAGCATCTGGGTGCTTGGTCGATGAAACAGAAGTGTGGTCAATTCACTGTGGGCCCTTTATCTCCCTAGTCTCATTCACTCAGTCTCAAACTGCCCCACATCCTTCTCAGAGTATATGCAGAGGAAGAAGGGCTGCTGAGTAATGTTCTCACTAGGAACAGGGAGCCCATTACTCTGTGTTGGAGAGACCTGGGGGTGGGGGGTGGGGTGGGCAGCATCCTTTTACAATGAAGAGATCAACAGACAGATAAATTTGCTTTGTCCTTGGTCATTCTCTGAACTAGATGAGTCCAGAGGCATTTTGAGAGCTAAGGCAGGAGGTGATGGAAACACCCGTGTCTTCCAGTCCTCACTCATTTCAGTGTCTCCAGTGCCTAGTATAAAGCAAGCCATCATGCATAGAGAAGGTATTGTGACATAGAAACATCAAAATGGCTACAGTTTAGTTAACTGCTCCTGGCATGCCCTATCGCGGGAAGGAGAGGGGCCTCTTGCAATGGAGCTTATGAGAGTGGGGGTGGGGAGAAGAGATTCAGAGCGCATTCCAGAGGTGAGTACAATTGCAAAGCTGAGTCAGAGAGAGAATGAATAGTTATTGGCCTCTAGTTTGCAGAATGACATAGCCTCAGGGTTCAGAAAGATGTTCAAAGTTATCTCTGCCATCTACCCTTTCACTGCCTGATCCCTTAGGCAAATGCCTAGCCCCTGCTTGGATACTTCCACTGATGGGGACCTCACCACCAAAGTCCATTCCAGCTCTGTATGGCTGTTAGTAAGTTGGACTTTTTGTTGATTGGAAATCTATCTTCCTGTAGCTTACACTAACTGGGTCTAATTCTGTCTGTGGGATGCTAGAGAATAAGTCAGCCCCCTCTTCCATACAACAGCTGTAGAGAGTTTTGAGGTAAAAGATCATGTCCCCTCTGACATGAGAAATTTTCCTTTCCAGACGAAATCCTCGATTGTGTCCCTTCTCACGTGGTTTCCAGGCCCTTTCTCATGTTTGTGTCTACTGATTGCTTCCCACTTTGCTTATAGCTCTCCAAATATGGAGCTAGACCACTTCATACAGTGCCAGCTCACATCAGAACGGAATCATCCTTTTGCTCCTATGAGAACGTAAATGTCTATAGTGAGTTCCTAGGATCAGAAATTTGCACTCTGGAGTTCAAGGGGGTCCAGGACTTTGGGTTGAGTTTGTTTTTAGTCAGAAGGAGGCAGAGGAAAAAAGAATTAGGTTTCTATGATTGGGAAGAGATGATAGCTAATATTTTTTGAATACTTACTACATGACAGATGCCGCTAAACATTGAACACGAATTATCTCAGTGAATCAACTCAAAAACCCTTGTAGGTGGGTACTGTTATGATTCCTCTTTCATAATTGAAGAAACTGAGGCTTAGAGCAAACTCAGGGTTTTCCTGGGTTTGGTGGTGTATGCTAAGACATAGGCCAGATATGAACAGGGAGAGAGACATGGTTAGAGATTTGGTGCTTCAACAAAGAGCAGCATGTGGACTGTGATTATGCTTCAGAGAAGCTAGGATAACAATGAAAATGAGAGTTAGGGGTGAAAATAGGGCTTCTAAGGCCCCAAAGACCAAGGGGGAAAAAGCCATCCAAGGGTGGCACAGAAGGATATGATGTACAAGGGAGTAATAATAGTAACAGCCACACATTTGTTAAATGTAGACTAAACCAGGCACTTTGCATATGTAATCTCCTTTGATTCCCCACAACAACCGTAACTGGGAATTACTACTATTATGATCATGATGTTACAGATGAGGAAATTGAGGCTTATCCTGGTTTAAAAGACTCACTGAAGGCTACACAGCTGGTAGGCGGCAGTGTCAGGATTTAAATTCAGATTTGCTGAGTCCAGGCCGGGCCCTATACTGACTCCCAAAGGGGAACACTGTTGGCACCACTTAAGGGAAGTAGCTTTCTCTCCCAAGAGATGGGGGAATCCCAGAACTCATGAGGGTACTCAGGGCTACAGGGGTAACGCCTGGCAAGAGAGGGTAGAGAACCTGTTCTGGAAGAGACAAGTTTGCCAGACACTTCACATCAGTAGGGCCAGTCCTGAGGTTATTCTAATTCGATGTTTCCTCAGAAAGGCATTCCTGGAGGCCCAGGGACCTCAGTAAATACCTACAACTAGATATGCTATCTCAGAATTGAAACATAAGGGTTAAAAAATGTCATCTGTTTTATCCCTCTGTAGTTTTTCCTTTTTTTTTTTTTTTTAACAATATGCTTTCTCTTAGTTCAATGGTTCTCAAGCGTTAGTATGCATCAATCACCTGGAGGACTTGTTAAAACACAGATCTCTGGACCCTCATTCCAGAGTTTCTGATTAAGTTAGTCTGAGGATGAAGGCTGAGAATTTGCCCTTCTGACAAGCTACCAGGTGGTGCTGATACAGCTGGTCTGGGGATTACACTTGAGAACAGCAGCTTTACTTTATTAGTAAAGCTACTTTTGAAAATTTCCCAGCTGACTTGGCTGTGAAAAGGTAAGTTCAGAAAAGGCAGAGGACTTGCCCATAGGCCAGAAGCAGTGGGGGTGCAGACTTAGTGCCCCGCCAGGTGAGTACTGCTGCCAGAGAGCCTGCATAGGTTGGGGAAGATAGAAGTCACAGCCAGAAGGGACAGGAACAAGGGCAGACAGAAGGCCCGGGTGAGCTGGGCAGGGAAGCCAGACTGCCTAAAGGAAATGAGATCTGGCAAGGGCAGGAGTCAAGTGGGGCAGAACTCTTGACAAAAGCTGCAGGCTCCTCGCTGGGCTTCAGGGAAAGAACTCGGGGACTGAGGAGGCAAGGAGCCAGGAGTGAGCTCCTGGGATATGACCTGTGACAGAATTCTGGCGATCACATTTCAGCTGTGACTTGCTGTCTCCAAAGCCTCTTTCTGTCTCCTTCTGTGGTTATACCCATCAGTCATAAAGTGCCCAGGAGTTGCTCTCTGAAGTTAAGTCCTTACAGCAAGAGAACTGGGGACAGCGCTAAATGCTGTGTTTTTTCCCCCCCCTTAATGATGCGTCCCACAGTAGAAGGCAGGGTCACGGCTAGGGAGCTCACAGTGGGGCGGTTTGACCACTAATGTCCGATCCCTAGGCTGCATTTCTCCCTCATGGGAAACTGACTCACTACACTGAGTCCGCAGTGCGGAGAATAGCCTTCATGCACTAGACGCTGGGTGCTTGGCTGCTCTCACTGCTCCTCATGGAATTGGGGCAACTTGGATAGGAGGCATCTTTCCCTTGATACCAAGAGAGGGAGCATCTCGGGGCGCCTGGGTCGCTCAGTCGGTTGAGTGTCCAACTTCGGCTCAGGTCATGATCTCGCGGTCTGTGAGTACGAGCCCTGCATCAGGCTCTGGGCTGACAGCTCAGAGCCTGGAGCCTGTTTTGAATTCTGTCTCCCTCTCTCTCTGCCCCTCCCCCTGCTCATGCTCCGTCTCCATCTCTCTCTGTCAAAAATAAATAAACATTAAAAAAAAAAAAAGAGAGGGAGCATCTCTCTGCAAGTTTGCACACCATTTGTCCTTTTAGCTGTAGGAGCAAAATTGTTCATACAGGCCCTCCCTGGACCCTGGCGTTTAAGCACTACCCACCTAGCTTGAGCCAAGTCCTTGTTTTCCCTTTTGGGCCCTTCATCCCATTTCTTATACATGTCTGTCCAGTTTAAAAAAAAAAAAAAAAGGATTTATTGAGTGCATACTAGATGGCAAGACCTGCGCTGGGGATACAGATATGAGTAAAAGAAATTTCAACCTTCATGGAAGTCATAGTACAGAGTATAATTGTATACAGGCAATTATAGCCTTGTAGGATAAATACTGTGTCTTATATAGAGCTCATGCCCTCTCAGGGCCTTTGTATTCGCTGTTCCTTCTATCTATAATGCTTTTTCCCAGACCTTTGTATGACTCATTCTCTTACTTTACACAGATCACTTCTGAGAGAGCCCTTCCCTGAACTTCTTATGGAAAATGGAGCCCTCACAATTCTGAGTGCATATAAACATATATAATTACATATATATGTTAATAAACATATATATTAATAGTGCTTCTAAACACTGTGTGTGTATATATATATGTACACATATACATATATATATGTACACATATACATATATATATATATATATACACACATTTATTTACTATATATACACGTTGATTTTTTTTTGGCCTCCCTCTCATACTGGATTGTAAGCTCTGCAAGTGAGAACAGGGCCTTGTCACTGCTGAATTCTCAGTTCAGAGAAATGGTACCTGATAGATACTCAATATGTATTTCCCTTCTATTCATTCCTCATGAGTGATTGCCTAGTTGGAACTTTTCTGAGCCTCTCCAGAGTCATCAAAATGGAAGCTGAGGCCTTTCTGCTTGGAGAAGAACATTTTCAGGCCTACTTCCCCAAGCTTTCTACAGTCTGCACGGTCCTTTTCAGACCAGACTGAGCAGGTTCTAGCCCCCCCACGGACAACTATAATTTACTGGCCATTAACTATGTCCTGGGCACTTCAAATACATACTTAATCCTCACAATGCTCTACAAAGTAAGCATTATTGCTCTTATTTTATGGAAGATGAAATAGGCTCAGGGAGAGTGACTTGCTCAAAACACAGCAAGATGCCCAGGAGGGCTCTCTGGGAAAGGTCTACCAGGCCCCACCCTCTACCCATGTTTCTACCACGTTCCTTCAGGCCTTCTCCATGTTTCCACGATATCCCTTACCCCAGCCCTTTCCTTCTCACTGGACAGTGGGTTTGGTCTAGCCTGGCTGCTCCTTGGCGGCGGTCAATGTCAGGGGTGCTTAGATGCGTGCAGGATGGAGCGGGGCTGATCTCAAGGACCAGAGCTTTCCTTCCCCAGCCTTTCCCACGGGCCCGGCTGCTGGATGCCCAGTGGCCCATTCCAAGGCCTGCAGCGATCGGGAGCCCTGGAAGAAAAAGGATGCGGTAAGGAAGGAAAGGCTTGGTCACTGGACCCGCAGCACCACTAGTTTTTGCCCCTCCCACCCAGCATCGGACACCTTCCACTCCATCCAGTCCCGCGGCAGCGCGCATGCGCGGGGCACTCCGGTCTCTCTCCCTCCCTCCCTCTCTCCTGCGGGCCGCCCTTTCACCCTGGCAACCGCGGCGCGACGACGGCGCGCGCGCGGGCTGGGCGCGGACCGGGCGGGGTCGGTTCTGTCTGAGGCTGAGGCTGAGGCGGCGGCGGAGGAGAGGGGGCGGCCGCGGGTAGCAGTGTTGGCTTGCCCGACTTCCCTCCGCCTCGCCGCAAGGTTCTTCGACGCGGTTTCGGGCCCAGTAGACATAGCCCCTGGCCATGGACTCACAGAAAGTAAGTGGGAGAACGAGGCGCGGGGCGGCGGAGGTTGGGGAGAGGGTGGGCGGGGCGCCCAGGGCCGGGTGGGCGGTGGGCGCGCTGGGCCAGGCAGGGCTGCGGCCGCGGAGGGCTAGGCAGCTGCCCTCCCTCCCTCCCTCGTTCCCCGGTGGGAGCAAAGCGGCGCCCGCCAGGCTGCGGGGACCGCGCCCGGTGACCCGAGCTGGCCTTTGGCCCTGGGCCCTGGCTCCTGCGGGGAAGAAGGGAGCTGTCCCCATTCCACAATCATTTTCTGCAGCGCTCTAGGCCCCCTTTGATTCTGGAGCCTCCCCGCGTGCGAGCGCGGGTTTATCCCGCCTTAGCACCAATCGAGGTGCACGGGGTCTACCTGCTGACAGGGACCGTACACGCTGCTTTAGGTCAGGAACCAAATCTGCTTAGTACCGCGCCCTCCACTCCCTCCTTCCTCGTGACCAGTTCAGAAGCAGGTCTTGGTGTTTAGTATTAGTTGAACTGGGAGAAGAGACTTACAGTTGGCAGCGGTCCCACCCTCTTCGACCAGTTTGTTGCTCGTCACGGTTATCTATGGCTGTTGTGGCCTGTTGTATATATATACTTTCCGCACAAGTTAGGGAGCTAGTAATTTCGATTAAGAAAAAAAAATGTTTTGAGAACATAGCCAATGTTTTGAATACATTTAGAGTTATTAATATGCAGTCATAATCCCTGTATAGATTAGTAACCACCCTTTTCTCTTTGTTAGATGATAGTAATTGAAGTATAGTACAGT